TCCTGGCTTCTAAGGAGCATTGTGGCTGTATGTCTTCCAACATAGATTAACTGTTCTTTTGGCAGTCCAAGGTAGGAAGAACAGGACGTGTGTGAAACCCACTCTGAGGCAGTTCTCAAACCAAGGAATGCCTTGCATGCCAAAGATTATGGGAGCAAAACACACTGACCAGATGGTTGGGGGAAGTAATCTAAAATGAGGAGAAAATATGTGTGCCTAACTGTAATCATTGCAATGAAATGAAATACGATAAGATGAGTGTAAAGCTGATGTTCTCCCATGTAAACCTCATGATAAAAACAAAAAAAAATATATTACCTACAATACAACTTTAAGTATAATCTTAGGCAGGAGGCACATCCAGGCACCAAACAAAGCTAGAGCTTATTATTACTAGATAACAGTTGTTGTTGTTGTTGTCAGGTGCCATCGAGTCAGAACCGACTCATAGCGACCCCATGCACAGCAGAACGAAACAATGTCTGATCCTGGGCCAACCTCACTACCGTTGCCACACTTGACACCATCAATGATGCCACCTGGCTGATCCATCTCGTTGGGGGTCTTCCTCTTTTTCTCTGACCCTCCACCTTACCCAGCATGACATCCTTCTCCAGCGACTGTTCCCTCCTGACAATATGTCCAAAGTATGAGAGACGAAGCTTAGCCATCCTGGCCTCCAAGGAGCACTCTGGCTGCACTTCTTCCAAAACAGATCTATTGGTTCTTTTGGCAGTCCATGGCACTTTTAGTATTCTCCAACACCACAACTCAAAGGTATCAATTATTCTATGATCTTCCTTATTCACTGTCCAGCTTTCGCATCCATATGATGTTATTGAAAATACCATGGCTTGGGTCAGGCGCACCTTAGTCCTCAAGCTGATGTCTCTGCTCCTCAACACTTTAAAAAAAAAGTTCCTGTGCAGCAGATTTGCCCTATGCAATACATCCTCTGATCTCTTGACTGCTGCTTCCACAAATGTTGATAGTTGATCCAACAAGAACAATGAAGCCCTTGACAACTTCAATCTTGCCTTTATAGGCCCCCCCATTTTGGGTAGCCAATGTCTATGTTGCCCATCCCTGTCAAACCTGTGTACCGAGGGGGTGGGAGTGATCCTTGCTGTAAAGATTTGTTCCCCTTTTTGAGCTACTACATCCATACAGGTAAAGTTCATCACATTGTAGGTTACTCTTTTTTTTTTTTTTTCCTTCTTCTTTCTTCTTCTAGTCGAGTTCTGATCATTCAGCCATTGAAGCCAGGTCAAGTGGGTGCTATCTGCAAGTATGGGTGTTCTTGTGAATCTCCCCTCACTTCATATTATCTGGACGTTTCACTCTCAAGTCCTCTGTGGCCATGTCAGTGACTCTGGGCCCAAGAGTTCCCAGGTCTTGCCACACTGCTGGCCATCCAGGTCTCCACCCAGGTTGACAGGGGTCTATTGAATGTGGTCGGGCTTAGCTCACAACTTCAATGCTGTACTGCTGGTCATCCAGGTCTCCACCCAGGTTCACGGGGTCTATTGAATGTGGTTGAGCTTAGCTCATAACTTCATTGCTGTTTTTTCCCCCTCTTCCCTTATCACTGACCAACGTGGTCACCAGCCAGACCACATACCTGCTCATGTATTCCCCTTGAGTCTCATTCTTGGAAGTGGGTTTGCCCTGGGGGGGTCCCGATCACTTGCCTCGATGGCTCCCAGGCAAATAGCTTACTTGTTCTTGTAGTAATCAATCAGACTACTGTTATTGTTTTGGATTTTTCCTTCTGGTCTTTCTTTCACAAAGCATCTTCTGTTTTTTCTAGCTGTTCCAGGCTGGTCTACTTGTCCTTTCCAGTGGAAATTTCTTACCTCAGTCAGTTCTGGATGGGGTTCTGGATTCTACCTATGGTCTTGTGCAATATAAAGGCTCCACAGGAAGTCTCTTTTACTGGGCAACTTCTAGCCCCCTTTAAGGTATTCCAATCAGTTAAAGGCTAAATGAAGACAGACTTACAATCTTTCTGTAGTGATAATTCTGGCTATTCCTTTCTTCCCCCCTCAAGTGTCTATTTTACAGTGGTATACAAGGGAAACCAAGATTCAAAAGACAGACAAGCATCTTGCCACTATTCCCCTCTTTTACCCCTTCAAACCATGCCTCAATCCCTGTATCCTGGAGCCCTGCTGTTCCAAAGTTGTGCATACATCATCATTTACCTCTGTCCCACTTAGCCTATGTGAACCTGCCTAACTGTTCTCCCATCAGCATTGTTCTTCCATTTCCTTCGACCTTCTGACCTTCTTGTGTATTGCCCACCCCCTTAGCACTTCCCCTCCCGCACCCAAGCTATCCTGTGTCTATTCTTTACCCTGTGCTCTATCTTTCCCTCCCTCCCCTCCTCTCATCCCATACATCCTGGTGATCAGTATATATATATATAATTTTTTTCCTCTTTTAGTGTTGGTTCTTTTTCTTAGTCTTTTACAATAGTGGTCCTGTGCAGTATTTCTCCTTTTGTGACTGACTAATTTCACTCAGCATAATGTCCTCAAGGTCCATCCATGTTATGCGGTGGCTTGCAGCTTCCTTGTTGTTCTTCAAGGTAGCACAGTATTCCATTGTGTGTATGTACCACAGTTTGTTTTCTATTCTTCAATTGACAGGCACTTAGGCTGTCTCCATCTTTTTGCTATTATAAATAGTGCTGCTATGAACATGTGACCTAGCTTGGATGGTTTGCTGATGAGAACTCAATCAGATAATGATAAGAAGTTTCATACAGGGAGCAAGCGTAAACTGCTATAACTTGATGAACTGGACCTTTACTTACCCAAAATTCCAACTGAAAGGGAAGGTTTCTTCATATCAAGGATCAAGCTTGCCTCCTCAGTACATTAAGTTGATAGGGACGGGCAACTTACACTTCAGCTATCAAAATTGGGGGTTTATAAAGACAAGCTTTCATGAGAGTGCCTAGTGTCAGAATGAGAGGGTAAGATAGAATCCCCACTGAATAGTTTTCTTCTTGTCCAGATGACTCTGGTGATGATGGGGACAGGATTTTATGATTAATTTATGAGTAACTGTTATCAGGACTAATGATGATTGTCAATGTAAATGTCAAAGAGGTATAACTTAAAAGGGGGGCAGTTAATCTGCATTTCAGGAACAGAAGATCCTAGAACCATCAAAAGAAAGAGCATGAGTGAGGGATCCTAATCCAAATAGTGGTGATAACAAAGGTGGTGGAAGAGGCAAAGGCATACAGAGGCAGAGCAGCAGAGGACTACACAGGTAGTGTGCCTTTGGGTAAGAGGCTGGCTTGCAAAATGTGCCATTTGTATATATAAATGAATATATATTTTCAATGTGGTATGTATACATAAAAAAAAATAGGGGTGTGGATAGAGGTAAATGCTGTCAGTTGGTGCATGGATTGTAATAATTACAATGATTTGTTGAATGTAAAACTGTCCTTTAAACCTTTACTTAAAAATAAAAGCTTTTAAAAAAAGCACTTTAATGGGAAAAAAAAAAAAAAAAAGACCAAAACAGGTGTTACAATGAGACTCAGAAACTTGCTTCTGCTTGAAAAGAAGTGTCTTAGGCTAGGTTCTCTTGGAGAAACAAAACCAGTGAACCTTATATATTCATAATAAAAAGAAGTCTATTATCAAGGAGGTGTCCTGGTGTGGTGCTGTCAGTTAATACGCATGACTGCAAAATTGGTTTGAACCACAAGGTTGGTGGTTCAAGCTTACCAGCTGCTCTTCGGAAACCATATACAGGGTCTCTATGGGTCAGAATCAACTTGACGACACTTAACAACAATAATTATCAAGGAAATGGCTCATGTAGTTAAATAGTTGAGCAAGTGTCAAGTCTGTGGGTCAGATGCCAGGTTGGTGGCGGGGCTGATGAACCAAGATCAGCAGGTTGGATGGCAGGAAGGCAGGCTGGGCAAGTAACAAGATGTTGTTGTTGTTAAGTGTCATCAAGTCAATTCTGACCCATAACAACCCTGTATAGGATTTCCAAGGAGCAGCTGGTGAGCTTGAACCACTGACCTTGAAGTTCAAACAACTTGGCAGTCTGATAAATTAGCCCATAGTGCCACACCAAGACTCCAAGTAACAAGATAGGCAGCTGAAAACTCCCAGGATCAGCAGGCAATAGAGCAGGTAACTGGCTCAAGTCCAAAGATGTATAGGTCAGATGATGAACCAGATGCAAAGTCCAGATCCAGCAGAAAGAAACAAGCTATGTCAGAATATCAAATACATGGAAGCAGGCGACATCCATAAGGAAACCTCCTCTTAATTGACTGATTGTTCATAGCAGATCGCATCATAAATTTCATCATAGGGGATGACTACATCTTAGCTGTAAAACCACTGAGAATCCTGACCCAGTTAATTGACACAAAACCTTAACTATTACAAGAAGGAAAAATTAATGGAAGAAATGATGAAGTAAAAAACCTGAACAGAAACTTGAAATGTCAGTTTGCAGAGACAAAGTAAAGTATTATAATGAAATGTGCAAAGACTAAGATTAGAAAATTAAGTAGGAAAAACACAATCAACATTTCTCAAGCTGAAAGAACTGAAGAAAAACTTCAAGCCTGAAGGATTCTATGAATCTTGGTTTTCAAATATTGAATTCTTAGTAAAGTAGAGGGTCAGTAGAAAAGAGGGAGACCCCCAATGAGATAGATTGACACAGTGACAGCAAGGACTGGGCATTGCTTTGTTCTGTTGCTAACAGAAGCACTAGGGAACAAATTCAAAGGCACCTAACAACAATAACATAATTTAAGATGATATCAATATTTCAATATTTATTATATAAAATGTGGTCACTATTGATATGGGCTAAATAACATTAAATAATTCATATCCATTGTTTCATTCCCTGTTAATGAAATACATTTTAAATCCTAGCATTACTGATTGAAAAATAGAGCTGTAGCATCCTGAATTTGAGTCAAGATGTATAAAATAGTAACTTACCTCAGAGTCAGAGCTGTCAAGCTCAGCCAAAGTTGGAGCTTTGAGGAGTTTCTTCTGCTGCACAGGGACTAGCTGTGTGGTATTTAAATTATATTCTTTTGTTGATGATGTTAAACCATTCACCACAGATGATTCTAGTACACTCCTTGGAGGTTCAGGGGTAGTTATATCTGGTAAAACAAAGGCAAAAGCTCACCTTTCTTAGAACCCTGAAAAGTAATTCAGTGAAACCAAAATACTTTTCATTGTACATACATCTGAAAGAACACATCATGAGTTATTTCCAAATAACTCAAATATAAAATTGAGGCTTGGTACTTTTCTTAGACTAGGTTTTCTAGAGAAAGCAAAACTAGTCAACACATATATGCGTATATACAAAGAAAAGTTTATTATGAAGGAAATGGCTTAAAATTGAAACGTCCCAGGTCCCCAGCAGAAGAGAGACAGAGCCTTCCCTGCATTTCCATTATATTGAAAGCAGTCCACACACCCAAGGAAGCATCCCTTTAATTGATTAGCTGCTCATAGCCACTCATCACAGAGTTAACTATACCTGTATTAGGTTTCATCACCATGTGAATAAGCCCATCTCAACTACTAAATCTTTGGAAATCCTGGCCTAGTCAGATTGACACAAAACCCCAACAATTACAATACTGTAAACTCTTTTTAGAGAGAACTTTTTTCTTTCTTGTTAGATAATAACTGTCAAATTCAGCTAAAATAAACCTTAAATAAAAAACTATAAAATGAAATTTATAAATTAAAATTTGAAGCTGGAAGAGATCCTACAAATAATTAAACCCCAACTTCTTCATTTTACAGATGAAGAAACTGAAGCCCAAGGAGGCTAATTTTACTTTATACCCTCTGAACCATTTGTTTTGAAAGGGTGAAGAGAAACACATGGAAGACTATACTAGGCATAGAGCTAGAAAACCTAAAAAGGACTAGATTTAAAATAAAAATATCTAATAATTTCCTATATCCATATAAACATATTTAACATGAACATACAGATTCTGGGATACAGTCCCTTTGATTTAAATTATTACGGACTAAATTTACATAGGAAAGCAGTATATCAAATGAAAGGAAAGAAGGTAGTATAGTATTGTAAGATGTAGAGTGTTCAAGGTCAAAATCTAGTGCTACTGCTAGTTATTCGACTTCAAGTAAGTTACTTAACCTCTCTGTTTTCTCATCTGTAAAAATAGACGGGGACTTATTCTTAAGATTCCATGTATTAATAATAGCATATGAAATGCTTACTAAATACTGTGCCTTGTAGAGGCAGTACAGAGTCATTTGCAATAAAGAAAACTAAAGCTAAGAAGGATTGGAGTCAAGGCCATACAATAAGTGTGTGGCAGGTTTGATATGTGAAGCTTTTTAGTGTTGATTCTAAAGCCAGTCCTTTTTTATCGCTATTGCAAAAAAAAAGTACAGTGTAAGTAGAACTAATTTTCTTTATTGCTTCAAATGAAGAATTAAATAGGGAGCAGACATAATCGTCCTGGTATGGCGCTGTGGGTTAATGCACCAGACTGCAAAGCTGTTTGAACTGCAAGGTCAGAGATTCAAACTCACCAGTCACTCCTCGGAAACCCTGTACAAGGTCGCTATAGGTCAGAACCGACTTGACGGCACTTAACAACAACAAGACATAATAACTAACTACAGAATTGTTAAGTGTCGTCGAGTCGGTTCTGACCCATAGTGACTTTATATAGGGCTTCCTAGGAGTGGCTGGTGAACTTGAACCACTGACTTTGCATTTCAAACTGATTTGTGATCCAGTGCTTATCCTACAGAGCCACAAAAGAACCATGTAAATAATATTATATCTAATTTAATATCTAAAACTTTATTTTTAGATATTTATGAGGCCAAAGATTATACCTCTGTAAACTTAAAAAAAGGTTTTAAAGGGGAAAGAAAAGAAAAGATGAAAAGGAAAATAGAAGAAGAGAGAGAGGAAAGAAATAGAAAAAGGACGAAGACAGACGAAGTGTCCTTAAAGAGTTATCATCTTAGGTAAGATATTTAGATAGAAGTTGACAAATCATTCTTAGAGATTAAGTAGCTACAGGAAGTAAATGATGGGGGGGAAAGTACTGAATGGAGAAAAAGAACAAAGCAACAAATTTTTACACAAATTATAAATGCTAAAATCTTTTCATAAGGACATTTATGAAAGTTGCCAAAAATAATCAGAGAAATCTTTATTAAACAAAAATATCAAAATGTGAAGGTATTGTATCTCAGCATATCCTCCATTTGGGTCTATGTATTTCTGAGAACAGTGTTTTTCTAACCCTCCCCCAAAGAATTCTGTACTCTGATTTACACCCTATCAAAACAGCAGTTTTAGCAGCCTTTGGGGAGTTTTTTTTATGAATTGAATGAAGGTTTATAGACAACGTAACCAGCTTTACATCAGAAAATTACACACTTTGTTTCATCTCAGTGATTACAATCTCCCCTCCATGCAACAACAGTCAATGCGTTTCTATTTTTATTCGATCCAACTTCCCATCCATTCCCAATTTTGTCCTTAGGAAAATATTGCCCTTTTGATTTTCAGTGACTGACCATTTTGTGATGATCATATCTTACTAGTGTTGTTCCCCCTGCAAAATTAGCTACTGCTTGGTTGAAAATTGGGCCACAAGATGATCTCCTTTCTAAACCTGAAGGGTGGTTAAGGCCATAGTCTTGGTTCCTCCAGTCTCTTTCTGACCAGTAAACTAGAACGCTTTTGTTTTTAATTAAATACATTTGTGTTTTGTTTCACATTTAACCCCACTCTGCCCTATAGCTCCTGGTGTGATCCCTTTCAGAGCAGTTATTAGTGGCAGCCAGACACCATCTAGTTCTTCCTGTTCCAGAGTCATGGAGATGAATGTTGACATGTTCCATTGGTCTATTGAACTAATTGATTCCAAATCTCTTCAATTCTTATCACAATTATTTCTTCTGCACATGGAAACACCAATAGCTGTACCTTATACAACCAGTCATGAGCTTACAAGACAGACCACAGACACTAGTCACCCAAGTAGGATGCACAACATTTTCTTGGCAGACTATTTTAAGCCAACTGACTATGGTTCCCCTGAGACTACTGTCCTGAGCCTCCAGGCCCACCAACTCATTGCCTTAAGATGTTCAAACATATTTAGGAAGTTTTCACCATTTTTGACCATTGTATGCTCTGTCAGCAGTACATTGACAGAGAACTTTCAGAGGTTCAAGCCAGATTCAGATGAGGACATGGAATGAGAAATATCATTGCTAATATCAGATCAATCTTGAATGAAAGCAGAGAATACCAGAAAGATGCTGACCTGTGTTTTATTTACTATGCAAATGCTTTCCATTGTGTGGATCATGACAAGCTATGGACAACATTATGGAGAATGAGTATTCTGAAACACTTAACTGTGCTCATGAGGCACTTATACATAGACCAAGAAGCAGGTGTTCAAACCGAACAAGGGAACACTGAATGGTTTAAAACTAGGTGTATACCAGGGTTGTATTCTTTGACTATACTTATTCAATTTGTATGCTGAGCAATAATCTGAGAAACTGGATTATATGAAGACCTGGTATCAGGATTGAAGGAAGACTCATTAAAACCTACAATGTGCAGATGATACAACCTTGCCTGCTGAAAGTGAGGAGGACTTAAAATACTTACTGATGATGATCAAAGATCACAGCCTTCGGAATGGGTTAAACCTCAATGTAAACAAAATAAAAATCCTCAAAACTGGACCAGTAAATAACATCAAGATAAATGGAGAAAAGACTGAAGTTGTCAAAGACTTCAACACTCATAGTAGCAGCAGTCAAGAAATCAAATGGCATATTACATTAGGCAAATCTTCTACACAAGTGTCCAAGGGCAAAGATGCCAGTCTGAGGATTAACATGTACCTGACTCAAACCATGTTATTTTTAATAACCACATATGTACGTGAAAGTGGACAATGAATAAAGAAGACATTAGAACAATTGATGCATTTGAGTTATAGTGCTGGAGAAAAATATTCAAAATTATCATGGAGTAACAAAAGAACAAATAAATCTGTGTTGGAAGTACGATCAGAATGCACCTTAGAAGGCAGGATGGCAAGACTTAGTCTTTCATTCTTTGGACATATCAGGAGGCACCAGGCTCTGAAGAAGGACATCATGCTTGGTAAATGGAAGGTCAGAAAAAAAAAAGGAAAATCCCCAATGAGATGGATTAGCACAGGTGGCAACGGGCTCAAGCAGAATGAGGCAGTATTTCATTCTGTTGTGCATTTGAGTCAGTACCAACTCAATGGCACCTAACAACAACGTTCCACCACATTAATAGTTGTGTTTGCAGGATAATACTCATGTACAAATATCCTCTTTCAAAGTTCTATGTATTTGTGGGATATACAAATATGTGTATATAATCCACACTTCCTCCCTTACCTATTCAGCATATGTCTCACTGCATATATCTATGATCAGAGTATTGTTGTTTCAAGGTTGTGTATATATCACTATTTAACTCTACCACATCACTGTGCCTATACCTATATTTATTATTTTTCTGCCACCCTCCATTGTCTTCTATATTGCCCTCAATGTCACCTGAGGTAATGTGTCTACCCTCTAACAAGTGAATTACTCTCTGTTCCCAACAACCCATGATAACAATCAAAGAATATTTCTTGTAATATGAAACATTTTCTTAAACATTTTTTTTATATTAAGCTTTTTTTTTTTATTAAATGTTTTTATTTT